ATTTAAAAATCAGCAAACATGAGGCAGGAACAAAAACAGAAAACATTTGTCTTGCAAAGCATGGCCATAGGAACATTCGTCTTGTGAGTCATCAATTCCATCCCCCAAACCATTTGTCTTGCGAGTTTTTCGTCCCACGAGGCATTCGTCTTGCGAGGCACCACTGTACTTCCATTTTGCCCTAATTAATTACCTCTTTTGACACCAAATCCTGACCTTCAGTCTTTCAGCAGCACTAAGGGGTTATCTCCGGACAGACAGGACAGTAAGCCTACAGAAAAAAGACATACTTTTATTTCATCACATTGACATAAATTGATTGTTGATCCCATTTAATCTCTCCTGCTGGATTACATCCGAAGGCAGCATGTGTCGTTCTGCCAACGCACTGTACTTCCATTTTACCCTAATTAATTACCTCTTTTGACATCAAATCCTGACCATCAGTCTTTCAGCAGCACTAAGGGGTTATCTCCGGACAGACAGGACAGTAGGCCTACAGAAAAAAGACATAATTTTATTTCCTCCCATTGACATTAGTTGATTGTTGATTCCATTCAGTCTCTCCCGCTGGATTACATGGATATCATCCTTACTCTGCTCCATGAGCTGACTTTGTTTCAAAATCAACAACCCATGTGTCATCCAACCCCAAATAGTTACAGTCCAACAACATCCTGAAAACAACCAGATCCGAGCTTGGATGTAACAAGGAATGTAGCAGTTAGAAGTAAAAGTTTCCAGCTCCTCAGGGGTGGGAGCGCATAAGCCTAAGGCTCTCCACAACTCATTCTCAGAGGAGCCGTAGTTTTCCATTACATAGGAAGTAGATTGTGGGTTTTCTGTTCATTTAAACCAGCTTCCGTCTGTCTTGCCACCTCCTAAGTCACAGGTTTTCATGTAAGAAAAACTCAGTCCTGTGTGTATGAAGGCAGGTCAAAAAGTGATTTTCACCACTGTGTTCAAACATTGCACATCCATGAAGGAAACAGTATGTGTGAGTAAGAAAAGGACTTGCTACCTAGCACTGTGTTTAAACATTGCACATCCATGAAGGAAACTGTGTGAGTAAGAAAAGGACTTGCTACCTAGAAAGGTAGTCAGGAATTTTCCTCCTTCCACCAACTTTACAGATTCTGAAAGAATCCCAAGAAATATGACACCCGTTCTTTCTCCTTTCTAGTAACCCTGACCTACGGAGAACAGAACCCATAATAGAAAACCCCTTACAGAGGACAAGCAGTGGAAGCTCTTCCAGCTCAAGTACTCCCAGTTCACAGCCTAGTTCTCAGGCAGGCTCGCAACCAGGATCCCAAGCTGGGTCTAGTGAACGTAACCGAGCAAGAGGTGAGGCGTTTCTCTTTTTCCCTTCTCTTTTCCAATTCTACAAATAATCACCAGCTTTTTGGACTGGTGTCTGGAACTTTTTAAAACAAATAATGAAAAAGCTTACATTTCTCTCTCAGCTGTGAAACCGACTCTAGTCCTGAAAAAAGAAACCTCTTGTTCCTGATTTGAGAATCTTACAATTTGCATGTTGTGTGTCACTGGGAAGGACGTTCGGTTCCCCTGCCCCCCATTTCTGCTTTCTGGGCTGGCAGGGTTTTTTTGGGGGGGGGAGGGGCGCAGATAAACCCTCTTCCTTCACACAAGTTAGTAATATCCATCTCCTTTGAGATTTATGTCTGTAAAGAGAGAGGGAGGAATTAGTAATTACAGTTGGGTTTGAAGCAGATAGACAGAGAAAGGAGTAATGTGCTTTTCCTCTGTGTCATGATCTCCAGAGTCAGAACAGTCCTTGATCTCCTTTATGCTTCTTTTACTCTTTGGCCAGGAAATACCAAGTCTGAAGGATCACCCATACTTCCTCACGAGCCAGCTAAGATCAAACAGGAGGACAACAAGGACATGACGCGGCCGAGCCGACCTGCTGTGAGTCTTAAATATGTTTTCTGATAAAATGCTGCCAAACAGGAGCTAGCCGAGTTTTTCTCTGGGCCACAACTTTGTCACAACCTTAGTAGCAAATGAAAGGAGTGAAACACTGTGTTTATCCCCCCCCCCATTTCAGATGTGTAATGTAGAAAAGACACTAAATGACAGGAATTCCTTTTTTTTAAAAAAAGAAATGGTTTGAAGTTGTTCCAGCCCAGAAAAGAACTTAAGCTTAGGAATACTTGAAAAAAATGATTTCTGGCAGTGATAGTAGTGATTTCCATGAAATAATTATTGCAACAGAGTTTATTCACATTCATAAGTTCTTTGTCGACTCTGGTCAGTACAGTTGGCTAAGTCAGTCTTGCAAAGCCGACTCTTCGCCTGGGACGAGCCCCTGTACTCAGCGCTGTGCTTCGTTGAAAGAGAGCAGATAACCCAGCATTGTCGCCAGATAGCAATGCTAGGTAGAGAAGAACATCTTGATGGGTCTGCTTTCCTAAACGGGATAATAGCGGGTGAGGTACCAGTGTACAAGTAACAGAAAATCTTACTGGCAGGAAATTCCAGACGCCTGAAACGCATCTACAACATAAAAAGTCTTCAAAGTCATCTGTGTCTTGATTTGAGATCAATAACAGAGGGCAAGAGGAAGTGTCATTAGGGCACTTTCCTAGTCTATTTGTGCCTACTTACTACGATGGCAAAGTTAGTTGATATACACACGTCATAGGATGACAAAGGCTTTAACAACATTTGTTTTTCCTGAGAAGTTTCATCAGACCTCATCCAATGTTCCTTCCTGGTTTGATTTGGTGATTGCCGTTTTGTATCATTATAGTATCATAGGGCAGGAGAGAAATTTCCTCTGAATCTCTTTTGAATATGTATTTGTTGTTCTGTTGATATTTTTTATTATTTCCTTTACACTCCACAGCACTGAGCTAACATATTTGATTTTATTTTTAACCTGCTTGCCTTTCCTCTGGCATTTTCCTGTCCTGATCTGTTTCCTCTGATGCTGATTAATCTTCCCTTACTCCCAGAGCTATAAGAAAGCGATAGATGAGGTTAGTGACATCTTTTCTCAGTTGGTCATGCCTTTGCAAGGGTGACTAGTTAGTGCTTAACATCAAGCCATATTTTCTTGGTTGCTGAAATTCAGAAAAGTGGTTCTGCAATTGTTATTCTGGATAAAAGAATGTATAGAGATCAGAAACTGGAGATGTTATAAATAGAAACAGGGAATTCCTCCATGAAAAAGAAAAAGGTGGAGTATGATGTGGGGGATGCTAACATTTATTGTGTTTTGTTACATGAAATCTAACTGCTTACTTTTTGCCCGCCTGAAGAGTAACTCAAGATCTGCTGAAGTTGACATTCATATATACCAGTATTTGGGATCACAAAGGAAAACGTTGTGTAGTAGTAACAAAAGCCCCTGTTTCTGAACTTTTGTTGTGTGGAAAGTACAAGATTACACAATACCAAGGTCTAAATCTTATAGCTCTGCCTCTGTACAGAATCTTATCAAGTTATTTACCACAATCAGATCATTTCTCAAATTCAGCTTTGGGGACCAGAAAGAAAATCTATAAGATTTAATTGTTGTAAGCCGCCCAGAGACCTTTGGGTAGTGTGGGCGGCATCTAAGTTAAATAAATAAATGAGATGTACAGAATTTATCTCTAGTTCCCAAATTTTCAGGTTTTCAGCCTTGGCATTTTATGCTAGAAGAGCTGAATAAAAACATGCGAGACACTGGTACAATCAAAACAGGTTTAAAAAAATTAGACATGACTTGCAGGTATCTACAATTTCATCACAACACCACCTTTCAAAGGGAAAAAACACATCCAGAGGGGCAGCTGGGGTGGAGGTGTGAAAGAGACGGCATATCCCCTGCTATAGATTTGCCCTTTTCCTAGGAGTTCTTTCCGCAGTAGGATTCTAAATGTATAATTGTCCTTTGAGACCCAATTATGAGTCCAGAAGGCATGCTTGATTCCACATTATGCAGGATTTTGTATAAATTCCAAGCAGAAATTTGCCATGACTGTAAAACAAAGCTAATTTATTCATATATGTTATTACCCAGATTCTAGACAGCCCTCAGTAGAATGAACTCCAGCAATTCACACAAGGTTGAATTCCTCTCTTAGTATCCAGAAGTATTGCTCTAAAGTTGGCAGTCGGTCATGTGACTACTTATGTAGGGAGGTTGTGCTAGAAATATCAGTTGATTCTGAGTTCCTTCTGAGTTGTAGATACCAAAGGGGTGCACTTTTGTCACTACAGTTCATGTGCACTGGTATCATTAAAATACATGTTTGGCATAACTCTGTCACCAGATGTAATGAGGCATTTGCTGTGGAGTGCTTAAAGTCAGCGTGTTTTAAGCACGTTATCCCATGAAAACAGTCTTAGGACACCTCCATTCCGTAAGGCATGCATTCATGCTGCATCTTAATGGCCCAAATCCTATTGTAAAATAATGTGCATGGTAACAGCCTAGCTTCCACAAATTGCCAGCTGCCAGTCATTTACCCAGTTGTGCACCTAGTAAAACTAGAGAACAATGAGACATGCAGCTGGCAAATGGTTTCCTATTGCTTGTGGGATTGCTTTTATCCATCCCCACCCATAATAATAATTCTGGCTAATATTGGCTCAGTATTTTCCGGAAATGATGGCTGAAGTCTTGGTGAATAACTACGCAGGCATAAATGGTGATGACACCATCAACCCATGACATTATGTTTTAACTGAATTAAATTAAAGCTTCCTAAAGCCTCTTTCAGCCCACCGAGGTTCGAAGAGTCCCTAAGGATTCTGTTTGACCTTTGGGAGCCTTGGGAAGGAAGGCTTAATATTTGAACATTGCTGCCTGATTGCCACAACCAGGATAGGAACCAGCTCCCTCCAGCACCTGTCCTGAGGCTCCCCAGAGCTTCCATAACTCAAAGAAGGATCTCCAGGGAGTCTCGGAACATGAGGTGTGCTTGTTTGGTTGGGTTTTTTTTGGGGGGGGGGAGAATTAAATTACATTGCATTAAATTACATTACATTACATTAAATTAAAAAGCAATGCCAAGGGATGATGATGTTGCAGAGTTGCACCAACTGGATTTCAGCCAGTGTGTGTCAAGGATTGCGTGACTTAATCATAGAAGTGAAGTATGGCAGAAAATTAATTATAATTAAAACTATATCAGAATTCAAGGGGAAAGCTGTTGAAATCTAACCAGCTACAATAAGGCAAGATTTGGATGTCAAATTGTGCATATGTGATACTTTGTGGCAAGGCTGAAATTCCATTTGTAATACAGTGGTGCCCCGCATAGCTACGATAATCCGTTCCGGAAAAATTGTCGCTATACGGATTTGTCGCTATGCGGAAGAAAAAAGCCCATAGGAATGCATTAAAACACGTTTAATGCGTTCCTATGGGCAAAAAACTCACCGTTCTGCGAAAATCCTCCATCCGGCCGCCATTTTCGCTGCCCGTTAAGCGAGGAATGGGCGCAAAAATACTGCGGGCGGCCTTTTTTTTTTACCTGGCAGCCATTTTGGAACCGCCGATCAGCTGTTAGGAAAACATCGATATGCGAAAATCGGTAAGCAAAACAGCTTACCGATCGTCGCAAAGCGATGTGTTACCATTTAAAACATCGCAATGCGATCGCAAAAAAAACATTGCTATGTGGATTCGTTGTTAAACGGAGTGCCCGTTATGCGGGGCACCACTGTAAAATTTCTTAAAGCTTTATTTAAAAGATTATAGTATTATAATTATAATAGAGTGATTTACTGTACCAAGCAATGGAATTTTGGCCAAAATCACATTGTTTGGCATAGTAAATCACACTAGAAGAAGCCCATTGAATCAGTGGAAATTCAGTGAAATTAGTGGCCTCCCCCATAAGCTCCATTTATTCAAATGGGCTTACTCTAAATGCAATTTTTTATGCTATTGAAGGAGCATTTATTGACAATAATTATTGTCATACATAGAAGTTGAAAATTTGCAGTCTAAAACTATATAGGAGTGCACTTGGCCTCTTAAAAGACCTCCCCTGTGGATCAGAGGATTTCTGCTCTCATTCAGCTGAAGACAGAAACCTCAATGTAATCAGGAACCCTGGTATATCTCTGTTGCATCAACGCTTACCCGGTCAGTAAAAAGGCCAGTAAAAAGCATTTTGAAATTATTCCTATTCAACATGGGAAGGTCTTCAGAAAAGTATAACTAGTATGCCCATGGGTAAGGGGAGGCATGTGTACTATTAAGATGCAGTAGAGCACATTATATCATTTTTTAAATGTGTGAGACAATCCTAAGGAAAAATACACAACACACTAAAAGCTGCCATCATTAATATCTGCCCACCATATGAAAAAAAAAGCTTTTCACTGCAAACTTAGATTAGTCAACAGCTTCCTACTGTTTGGAAGAAGTTCCATGGGGATTGCTTCAAAGTCACCACCACAGCATGGAAAAACAGCTTTTATGGTGTGCAATATGCTGGCTAGGTTGGCTTCTTGGATTTGTAGTCCCAAAAGGTAACTAACTATTCCAGGTTTTGTAGTAGCAATCACTGATTCACAAATAATCTTTCAACTACAGCAGTTTTCTAAGTGGACTAGACTTCATAGCAGGGCTTGATTCTGACACACTCCTGTCTATCTGTCAGTCAACTTCCAAACTGGTGGCTGCTAATTCAGTGACATTCAAGGGAACAAGGCTCAGAGGTGAACAGGAATTACCTGCATCCCTTGTGCTCTTTTAATTGTCTTAAAATGCCAGGCACAATTTTCAAAAAGGTACATGCCATTCAGAATGGTCACTTTATGATGGTGTGCCCTTTGAAGGACTGGTAACATGGCAAGAGGTAGGGCACACCAGATGTGACAGAGGGTGCAGTCAGATGGGTATTTGTCCTGTGATTTGATCTGGGTTGGGGAAGGGCCAGTTCTTTTCTTTTCCTGGTGGCCAT